GCACCCCGTGAGTGGCACGACACACTGAGGACGACTCTTGCTGCTCTTGGTTTTGCTCCTTCCACTGCTGACCCGTCGCTGTTTTTACGCACTGACACCACTCTGCCGCCGTTCTACGTTCTCGTGTACGTAGACGACCTCGTCTTTGCTACTGGTGACACTGAGGCACTTGCCCACGTGAAGTCAAAGCTGCAGAAGAGACACACGTGCACAGACCTGGGTGAACTGACAAGCTATCTTGGCTTGCGGATCACCCGGGACAGAGCACAGCACACCATTTCCTTGACTTAGTCACACATGGTGCAACAGGTCCTTCAGCGCTTCGGCTTCACGTACTCCTCGCTACAGTCCACTCCTCTGCCTACCGGTCACTCGCTCTCAGCTCCACCTTTGGACGAGTCTGTAGAGCCGAGTGGCCCGAATCCAGAGCTTGTGGGCTGCCTCATGTACCTGATGACTTGCACACGACCTGACCTCGCATACCCTCTCAGCCTTCTGGCTCGCTACGTGGCTCCCAGTCGACACCGAAAGGTGCACTGGGATGCTGTAAAGAGGGTGTTGCGCTACTTGTGCAGTACGTCGGGCATGGGGCTAGTGCTTGGAGGACGGGCTCGAGTTGTCCTCACTGGTCACGCAGACGCCTCCTTGGTTGACGACTTGGCTACGCAGCGGTCGTCACAGGGTTACACCTTCAGCCTTGGCTCCGGTTCCGTCCCTTGGCGGTCTACCCGCTCGTCTTCTGTTCTCAGCTCCAGTTGTGAGGCTGAGATCTACGCTGGGGCCATGGCTGCACAGGAGCTATGCTGGCTCACCTACCTGCTGACCGACTTGGGAGAGGCACCTCGTTCTCCTCCAATTCTGTACGTCGACAACAAGGCCATGCTTGCCTTGTGTCAGGAGCACAAACTGGAGCACAGAACGAAGCACATTGCTCTGCGCTACTTCCTTTCTCGAGAGTTGCAGCAGCGCGGCCAGCTTCGTCTCGCTTACGTGGCCTCACAGGCCAACACTGCTGATGTTTTCACCAAGGCACTTCAGCCTTGTGATCATCAGCTTTTCAGTACTGTTCTAGGCCTTGTACCTACTGTGCCTCACTTGCTTACTTCTTGACTCTGCTTGTACTGTACTCTATATACATATACCTGCATGCTTACACTTGCTAGGTTGTGTTCACTATATTGTTTGTTTTCCTTTATATAACTCTGCATGTGAACTGGCCTTGTGGCCATTTGCTTGTGCTCAGACTGCGTGGTGACTTTGTGATCCACCATGAGCTTGCTTTGCCTTTCTTGACTGGTCTTGTGGCCTCTTGTTCTCCCCCACTTTGCCTATGGGGGTGTGTCAAACTTATATGCTATAGTCTGTTTAGGCTGTAGTGGGGTAGTTCTTATAGGGTACAACACTTTTAGGTTTTCTACTTGTACCAACCTGATTGCTAGTTCAGTCATTCATTCCTTCAATGTTCTAACACACGCTCACACCACGCATGCAAGACACGAACATATGATGGGAGGTAGACAGACGTGAATGCAAATGATAGCATCACATAACAAACTCCCCCTCTGGCTACCTACCATCACCTCACATGCTTCAGCTCATGCATGCACAATCAATGCACACTCATCCCAGAAATTTTCATGCCCTTCCAGTGCTCAAGTTCAGCCAGGCGCTTGGTGAGAATGATAGCTGCCTGCTGATGGGTCTTCACAGTCTCCAGCCGCACCTCCTTGTCCAGGAGCTTCCTCGTCCAATGCCACTTTGGCCTGATGTGCTTTGTCAGGCCATGAAGACAAGCATTCTTTGCAAGCTTCACAGCCGACTCATTGTCACAAAAAATCACAGTCGACTCCTTCTGGGACACTCTGATCTCCTCCAACAAACGCCTCAGCCACACCACCTCCTTAGCCCCATGATGCAGGGCCATGTACTCTGTCTCACAAGAGGACAGCCCCACCTCATTCTGCTTCTTGTTGCGCCAGCTCACTGCACCACCTCCAAACAGGCACACATAGCCTCCAATGCTGGTGCCATCCGCCTTCACAGAGTTGAAGCTAGCGTCGGTGTAGCAAGTCAAGAGCATCTCCCCCTTGCCCAAATCAGCAGCACCCCGTTGCTGCCTTTGCCTCACATCACTGTACTCCAAACCCACAGATGCTGTAGCACTCACATAGCGGACCAACCTCTTGGCCGCTTCTAGCTGTTCATGACTGAGGCGTGAGACCACACTGGCAAGCCTGGATGTAGCGAAGGCAATGTCCGGCCGCGTGTGGTTAGCCGCATAGTTGAGTGCCCCAACCATGGAATGAAACAGCTTCTTGTCGCTCTCACCATCCAACCCCTCAGGCTGCAGCATGTACAGCTCCTCCAGAATGATCCCATTGAGGAAGGCAGTTGTGATGTCCATCTGCTTGATCCCCCATCTGCGGTTTGCAGCCGTTCCCAACATCACTCTCAGTGTAGTCCCCTTCCCCACAAAAGCAAAAATCTCGTCAAAATCCTTCCCCTTTGTCTGCTGGAACCCCTTAGCCACAAGCCTTGACTTGTAGCGGGTCAGCTCCCCATCAGGCCCGTAATTGTGCCTGAAGATCAGCTTGGAAGAAATGGCCTTCTTCCCAGAAGGCAGCTCACACAGCTCCCACATTTCATTCACCAGCAGGGAGTCATACTCCTCCTTCACACTCTGCTTCCACTTCTCAGCATCGGGCCCACTCAAGGCCTCAACTAGTGTCTTGGGCTCAGGGACGGCTGCCCAGTAGCAGTGTGCTATCTCATCCTCATCACACTGCTCAGCCACACTCCCAGCCCGTACCACCTTTGGCTTTCCAAAACTAGGATAGGTCAGCCTGTTAGGAGGGCGCACATCCCTCCTAGGACGGTCTGGCAGATGTTGGGTACGTGGTGGAGCATCTTGCTACTACTGCTGCTGCTGCTGCTGCTGCTTCTCCACCTCAGGTTCTCCCCCATCCTCCGTCACCCCAGAGATCTCTTCATCTGAGACAGTGACCTGCACTTGCCTCGAAGGCCGCTGCACCTCATCATCCTCAATGATCAGCGGTGTAGTAGGAAGCTTCTGCTGCTGCTGCTTCCGCTCCTTATAGTACAAGGACTCAAGGAAATTCACATCCCTTGACACAGTCAGCTGCTGGCTGGTCAAGTCCCATATCAACCAGCCCTTGTGATCCTTAGCAAGCCCCATGTGTACTCCCCATCTCCCAGAAGCCTCCAACTTTCCCCTCTTCTCCTTAGGCACATGAAACACCACCATGGAGCCGTAGGCTCTCAACATGTTGACTGCTGGTGCACTCCCATACCACTTGGTGTAGGGGACCCACTGCTTGTCCCCCACAGTTGCCAACACCCTATTCTTCGCAAGGGCGACCTGCCGCAGGGCAGTCACTCAAAACGGATCCGGCAGCCCTGCACGCCCAAGGAGAGTGCGAGCACCTTCCTGCAGGGTCCGGTTGAAGCGCTCAGCCACGCCGTTCTGCTGAGGGTTGTAGGGCATCGTGAGTTGATGCTGGATCCCCTTCTTCTTCAGCACTGCCTCAAAATCAGTGCCAATGAATTTTCCCCCGTTGTCAGTGCGGATCACCTTCACCTTGTGTCCGCTCTCCCTTTGAGCTATCGGCATCCACTCCTTAAGTAAAGCCGCTGCCACTTCCCCCTTAGTCTTGAGAGGGTACACCCATACGGCACGCGTGTGGTCGTCCACAATGGTTAAGAAGTAGCGGCTGCCCGAGAGAGAAGGGGCCCTCATAGGGCCCACCACATCCATGTGCACAAGCGCGAGCGGGGCCTTGGCTGGTCCCGTGCCGCTGCTGAAGGGAAACGTTGTGAACTTGGTCTCAAGGCATGTAGGGCAGCTCCCAATCTCCTTCACTGCCCCTTTTACCTCCAACCCCTTCAAGCTCCCATCCTTCACCAACTTCTGCAGCATAGGAAAATTCACATGACACAGCCTCTCGTGTCATGTCTCCCAATTGTTGGTGCAACCCTACGGTTTGCATTCGGCTTGTTGTCCGTGTGCGTGCATGCGTGTGTGCATGGAATGGTATGAGGGCATGAGATAATATATATTTCATGCTTATAATAGTGTGTGAATGATGAGGCATGGTTTTGAATGTGTGTGTCGAGTCAATAGCAAGTTATCGCTAGTCGCGTGTCACGTCGTTGTTTGCGTGTCGTGTGCGTTTTTCTATTTTGTCGTGTGTGGAACGTTCGGCGTGTCGCAGGTGTGCGCAGCAGAATTCTAAGAACTCAAGGAAGATTTTATCTTGAAGAACCAGAGCCTTGGTTTCAAGATTCAAGTGATTTCAAAGCTCTCCAAAAGGGTAAACTTTAAGATAGTGAGAATAGTTGCATTACTTTGTGTAGTGTAACATTTCTCTTGGTGTAGGCCCTTGTGGAGGGTAGTTTCGAGATCCTTCGTGGTTGGGGATAGTGTGGCACTGTTCCACATCACTGTACCTCGGCTCTTAGGGTTTGTAGGAGCTGGGGGTCATTCCCAACTCGTAACTCTTCCTAATTTTGTGTTCTAAGTCTATAGTGGCTGCCATAGTGCCGTTCGTTCAAACTGACGTTGCGTCGTCAATGCTTGATGAAATCGTGTGATTCAACTTGCCTCGTGTAGGCAACATAAGGACGCTCCAGATTCAATTTATAACAACTCATTTAAAGCTGTGAGCAGAACGCTATTAACGCTTGAAGCCGCTGTGCAGAAATCCGACTGTGCACTCTATCTTTCGTTTTAGGCACATTCAAGCCTATTGTGACTATAACAAGTGGTATCAGAGCCCCTTGGAGCAGTTTCGACAATGTCTGGACCTGAGGAAAGGGGTGGCAGAGGTGCTGGTGGCAGTGGAGAAGCCCATGCTCAAGGCCAACCCCGTGATTCAGCCATGGCGCCCATGCAACCAAGTCTTGGCCCACCTAGGGATGAGCCTAGGGTGTTTGGGCTTGACAAGTTCAACGGTGACAACTTTTCTGAATGGTCCTTCAGGATGGAGAACATCTTTGACCATTATGACCTGCTGGAGGTGATGGAAGGAACGGAGAAGCGCCCCGAGAACGACCCGGAGAAGAGCCCGTGGGTGCGGAAGAGCGCACAAGGCTATCTCCTACTTGGGCAAGCGTTGGGGAGCAGCCAAATCCATCACATCAAGCCATTCCAGCGTGAACCAGAGAAGGGACCAAAGGCATGGGCTGCTCTCAAGGGTGTACACGCTCCTGCAACAGCGGCGGTAGCAGTGGTGTTGGAACGGCAAATGGCGGCACTACGAATTGAAGAAGACGAAGCGGTTGAAGAAGGGGTGCAGAAATTCTTTGACTTGTTGACGTGGCTTGAGAGAGCTGATTTGAACTATAGTGAGCTCCAAAAGAAGACCAAGTTGCTGGCCTTACTCCCAGAGACATGGTCCTCGCTCATCATCAACCTCAATCGTGACTTGCCCCGCCTCTCGCTTGAAGACGTGAAGCGAGCGATCCTTCAAGAGGATTTCCGCCGCCGTGAGTTGGCGAGTGCGGATGGCGCCGGGGCAACAAGCATCGGCCGAGGGTATGGCCGTGGAAGGGGCAGAGGACGAGGGTGAGGCAGATTTGGCAGCAACAACTTCAATGGAGGCCGCGGGAGTGGAGGATACGGCAGCGACAACAAGAACTACGGACGCGGTCGCGGCCGATTCGACGGCGAGTGCCACTATTGTCACAAGAGCGGACATATGTGGCGCGATTGCTACAAGCTCCCTGATGGATGGACTCCTGCTCAAGGCCAAGAGGGTAGAGGAGCAGGAGGAGGGAGAGGAAGAGGCCGTGGAGGCCATGGCGTTCGCGGAGGTGGTGCTGCAAGTATGAAGAGTGCTGGCAACGAGAGCGAGTCGAGGGACGATCGTTTTCCGGTCAATTCTTCTACGTGTCCACGCAAGCACCGGCTGGTCCAGAGAAGGATGAAGGCTTTGAGGAGCCAGCAGCTGTGGGGAAGGTCACCCTACACTCCCTGGACTATTGGGTGATCGATAGCGGCGCTACCTATAGCATGACACCTCGTGCGGACTTGCTTACCGAACTTGAGCCGTCACCGGTGAAGCATGTGACATCGGCTTTGGGGCAGCGAGCAGAGGTGAAAGGCATGGGCAAGGCCATGTTCAAGGGTTCTGATGGGAAGATGGTGGGCCTCAAGAACGTGCTTTGGGTGCCCAACCTTGCTGCCAACCTGATTTCCGTGCGGCGGTTGCAAAAGGCCGGCATGGACACGAGCTCGAAGGGAGCTAAGACCTACACCGCGAGGCTTGGCGAGCGGATTCTTTGGGACCTTCACGAGGATAGGGATGTCTACAACGAGATGTGGCAGATCCCTGTGGTCCCCATGCCTAAGGAGAGGCAAGTGGCAGCAAGCATCAGCACCAAGGGTGAAGCGGTTGGTAGCGGCGATGGCGCGAACGGTCGCGCTAAGGAGATTAAGTCCAAGAAGTGCAATCTTGGAGGGACCAGCAAGCTCGGTGAACACGAGGAGAGTAGTGCAGCAGCTCAGAAGCAGCACAATGATGAGGAGAACCGCAAGGCAGCAGCGGAGGAGTACAGAGAGAACATGTGGGGCACTATTGCAGGTGCGGCATTCTCCAATCCGACTTCGGCTATGTGGGAGTGTGATTGGCTCACCTTGCATCCGCGAATGGGGCATGTGGCCCTGCCCATCTTGCAGCAGCTAGTGAAGAATGAGATGGTTGCTGGCATACGTGTGAAGGGGGAGCCCGATGAGGTACTGGGCTGCCCGACGTGCATGCAAGCCAAGTTCACCCGTTTCCCGTTCTCTAGTTCGGAGGTAACGGCTAAGGCACCACTTGATGAGGTGGTGATGGACGTGATGGGCCCCCTGAAGCTTGGAGCTGCTGGAGCTGAGTACTTTCTCACCATAGTGGACGTCTACACTCGCATGACTTGGGTGTACGTGATGTCCAAGAAGAGCGACGTGGCTGAAACGGTGAAGACCGATTGGTTGCCGATGGTGGAGCGGCAACAAGACCGGCTAGTGAAGGCAATCCGCACCAATCGAGGGGGAGAGTTCGTGAGCAAGGAGTTCTCATTGTGGCTGAAGAAGAATGGCATAAGGCACTCCCTCACCATGCAATACTCCCCTGCAATGAACGGCATCGCCGAGCGAGCAAACCGGACAATCACGGAGACGGCGCGCGGGTTGCTAATTGAAGCCCGGCTACTCAACTATTTCTGGCCTGATGCAGTTCGGAGTGTTTGTGTGGCCAAGAACAGAGCTTTGACTCATGTTGGAGCAGACAAATGGGTGCCCTATGTGGAGTGGATTGGAAGGAAGCCAAAGGTGGATATGCTTCGGGTGTTCGGGTGCATGTGCATGACGCTCGTGGCTAAGCATCTTCGGCACAACAAACTCGGTGCCGAGGCGATATGGGCTGTGCACTTGGGCATGGTTCAAAACAGCAAGGGGTGGCTTCTTTGGGACCCATTCACCAAGAAATTATTGGTGAGCAGGGACTGCAAATTCATGGAGAATCTGATGTACAAGGATTGGAAGGCGGAGAATGAGGCGAAGATAGGCATGCGGTTTGGGGAGGTGAAGAGTTCCGGTTTGGAGCATGTGGAGCTGCCTTTGGAGCTGCAGCACCACCACAAGGCAATATTCCCTTGTGAATGGGGGAGAGGAGGCCAAGGATGCAGAGGAAGAAGACGAGGAGGTGCAGCAAGTGAGCGAGCATGCACCGACACTTCCTTCTCGCACTACGAGTGCTCCACGGATCCGAGTCACCCCACAGCAACGCCAAGGCCTTCATGTCCCTGCGGCTGAGGAGGAAGGAAGGGGCAAGAGGAGAATTCAAGCCCCTAATAGGCTGACCTATGAGGCACTGGGAAAGCCAGCCAAGTCAGCCTTGGCCGGAGCGGCACTTATAGTTGGAGAGGACGAGGAGAGTGACTACGACAAGTGTGCCTTCGCGTTCTTCTCTCCGGTGGAGATGCCGGGGAACCAGCAACTCTCAAGGAGGCCTTGGAGAGTAGTGATGCTGAGGAGTGGAAGAAGGCAATGGAGAGTGAGTTGAAGAGCATTGAGGAGAACGGCACGTGGGAATTGGTGGAGCTACCGAAGGGGCGTAAGGCGATTAGGTCCAAGTGGCTCTTCAAGATCAAGTCCGACGCCGATGGCAAAATCGAGCGCTACAAGTCTAGGCTTGTGGCAAAGGGGTACCAGCAGAAGGAGAAGGTGGACTATAAGGAGTTGTTTGCTCCTGTGGTGAAGCCGACGACGCTGCGAACCCTACTCGCGGGAGCTGCCATCAAAGGAGGGGTGGTGAAACAAATGGATGTCACAACGGCATTCCTCAACGGCGTCCTTGAGGAAGAGATTTTTATGGCGCAGCCAGAGGGGTTTGATGATGGTAGTGGCAGAGTTTTGAGGCTGAAGAAGGCCCATTATGGACTGAAGCAGGCCCCTAGGCAGTGGTACTTGAAGCTGCGAGGAGTTTTGGAGGAGAACGGCTTCACTCCCTCAACGGCCGATCACTCATTGTTCATGCTTGGCGAGGGGGAGCAGAGGAGCTTCATGGTTGTGTACGTGGATGACATCCTAATTTTCTCACCCTCCTCTGATCTTGTGAAGGAGGTGATGCTGAAGCTTCAAGACAAGTTCAAGTGCAAGGCCCTTGGTGACGTGAGATTCTACCTTGGGCTCCACATCGAACGAGATGTGGAGAAGCGGTGCATGCGGGTGCATCAACGGAAGTACCTAGAGGCATTGGCTGCCAACTTTGGGCAGAGTGAAGGCCATGTGGCTACACCCTTTCCCTCTGGGTTCAAGTGTGTGAAGGGACCAGAGGAGGAGAGCGTTGGTGAAGAGGAGAGGCGCCGTTTTCACTCGTTCGTGGGCAGCCTCATGTACGCGGCGGTAAACACCCGACCGGACGTCGCGTTTGCTACCGGACAGTTGGCTAGGGCTGTTCAATGCCCTAATGAGGAGCAGGTAGCAGCTGGAATGAGGGTGGCCAAGTATCTTGGCCAAACACCGAGCGTTGGGCTGCAATATTTGGCGGCGGCGCAAAGGCGCCAAAAGGGCGCGGATGGTGTTGAACCCGGGCGTTTGTTCCTCACCGCATTCTCGGATGCTTCTTATGCATCGGAACCAGAGGACATGACAAGTGTTGGAGAGTTCATTTGCTGTGTTGGTGGAGGCCCAACTGCTCGGGAGAGCAAGAAGCAGGTGGATCAGGCATTGACCTTGGTAGAGTCCGAGTACATGGCACTCTTCCGTGCCGTACGGGAGATTGTGTGGCAGCGGCGTTTGTTGGCTGAATTGGGGGAGGAGCAGCAAGGACCTACCCCACTCTACTGTGACAGCCAAGGTGCCATTGCTCTTGCTAAGAACCCTGTGTTGCATGGCCTCACGAAGCACATGAGGGTGAAGTGGCATTGGACGATGAGCATGGTGGCCGCGGGTGAAGTTGAGTTGCGCTACGTGAAGACGACGGGGCAGCAAGCTGACATGATGACCAAGAGGCTGGTGGAGCAGCAGCATTAGAAGTGTTGCAAGCTGGCTGGGATGGCTCTGAACTGAGAGAGCAAGTTCCTAAGGCCAACAATCCGAGGGGGAGTTTGTTGGTGCAAACCTACGATTTGCATTCGGCTTGTTGTCCGTGTGCGTGCATGCGTGTGTGCATGGAATGGTATGAGGGCATGAGATAATATATATTTCATGCTTATAATAGTGTGTGAATGATGAGGCATGGTTTTGAATGTGTGTGTCGAGTCAATAGCGAGTTATCGCTAGTCGCGTGTCACGTCGTTGTTTGCGTGTCGTGTGCGTTTTTCTATTTTGTCGTGTGTGGAACGTTCGGCGTGTCGCAGGTGTGCGCAGCAGAATTCCAAGAACTCAAGGAAGATTTTATCTTGAAGAACCAGAGCCTTGGTTTCAAGATTCAAGTGATTTCGAAGCTCTCCAAAAGGGTAAACTTTAAGATAGTGAGAATAGTTGCATTACATTGTGTAGTGTAACATTTCTCTTGGTGTAGGCCCTTGTGGAGGGTAGTTTCGAGATCCTTCGTGATTGGGGACAGTGTGGCACTGTTCCACATCACTGTACCTCGGCTCTTAGGGTTTATAGGAGCTGGGAGTCATTCCCAACTCGTAACTCTTCCTAATTTTGTGTTCTAAGTCTATAGTGGCTGCCGTAGTGCCGTTCGTTCAAACCGACGTTGTGTCGTCAATGCTTGATGAAATCGTGTGATTCAACTTGCCTCGTGTAGGCGAGGTGGTGCTGGTCGAGGTGGAGCCACGCAGCGTGGAGGCTTTGGTGGTAGCCAGCGCCAGCAGCAGCAGCGTTCCCGTGAGACCCCGTCGGCCCAGCAGCTTCGTGAGTGGTACGCTGGGCGTGGGAGGTCTGGGGGTGGTGGTCCCTGCACTTACATTCTTCGCATCAGCGAGCACCGTGGGGAGACGTGTGGGCTGCCACACACTGCACAACGTTGCTTTGGTCGCCTGACTGACGCCTGGCACGCCCAGTTTCCTGACGCTGTTAAGCTCCCTCGCTGGGGTGATCTGCTTAGGCAGAATGTTGCTATCTTTGATCTTGATTTCGATGCTATCCTTGCTGCCATGTATGCTGTGGCTGATAGTGCTGAGGGTGACTGTTACCTGTGTGTTCTACCCGAACCGGGCATTGAGGCTGCTGCTCTAGATGCTAGTGCGTCTACTGCTCCAGATACTAGTGAGTCTGCTGCTCCAGGTACTAGTGAGTCTGCTGCTCCAGGTGCTGGTGAGTCTGCTCTCTCTGGTACTGCACCTACTGAGTCCTTGCACACTTTCACACTTGACTTTGGTGCTTCGCGCTCCTTCTTTCGCGACAGCACCACAGTGACGCCACTCAGTCGGCCTGTCGCAGTCTCCCTTGCTGACCCCTCTGGGGGCCCAGTCCTTGCACACTCTTCCACGGTTCTACCGTGTCCTGCGGCCTCGTCGGGCTTGCTGTCGGGACTCCACCTCCCCTCGTTCTCTACAAACTTGGTGAGTGGAGCTGACCTTCAAGACTTGTGGGTTGACCAGTTCACCCCTGGAGGTCAGCGTGTGACCCACTGCACTTGCTCTCGGACGGGCCGCCACCTGGCCACGTTCACCCGTCGGCCTGGGTCGAGTCTGTACACACTGACTACTGTTTCTCCTCCGGTTACTGCCTCTGGTCAGGTAGCCGCGTCTGGTCAGGTGTTTGCTGCCGCCTCCAGGTCTAGTCCAGCGTCTGCCCCTTGCTCGTGTCGTCCTCTGTCACACGAGACTCTCCTTTGGCACCACTGCCTTGGTCACCCCTCCCTGCCTCGTCTTCGAGGTATGGCCTCCCGTACCCTTGTCTCTGGTCTCCCCAGGTCCCTCCCTCCCCTTCCTCCGGGGCCTGCCCCTACCTGTGTTCCTTGTGTCGAGGGCCGGCAACGTGCCGCTCCTCACTCTACCGAGTTCCCTCCGACAGAGGCTTCCCTGCAGACTCTCCACATAGATGTGTGGGGCCCAGCCCGCATCAGTGGACAGGGTCACGAGCGTTACTTCCTGCTGGTCGTTGACGACTACTCGCGTTACACCACTGTCTTCCCCTTGCGCCGCAAGGGTGAGGTCACTGAGGTGTTGATCGACGGGATCCGCGGTGCCCGTCGCCAGCTCAGCGAGAGATTCGGCTCGGACCTTCCTGTTCTGCATCTGCACTCAGACAGAGGTGGTGAGTTTTCCTCCGACCTTCTGAGGGCCTTCTGTCGTGCGGAGGGCATCCGCCAGACGTTCACGCTTCCGGCCTCCCCACAGAAAAATGGGATTGCTGAGCGCCGCATTGGCATGGTCATGGACGTCGCTCGTACGTCCATGATCCATGCGGCTGCTCCCCATTTTCTGTGGTCGTTCGCGGTTCAGTACGCTGCGCATCAGATCAACCTTCAGCCTCGTGTCTCCTTGCCGGAGACCACACCTACTCTGCGGTGGACGGGGAAGGTTGGCGATGTGTCTATGTTTCGTGTATGAGGATCCTGAGCCTTTGTCCACGATACTTCCGCGGACAAGCTGTCCTCCCGTGCCGTTCCCTGCGTCTTCCTTGGCTTCCCCCCTGATGCACCTGGGTGGCATTTTTACCACCCCACCTCGTGTCGTGTTCTGTCTTCTCAGGACGTCACGTTTGACGAGTCGGTCTCCTACTTCCGTCTCTTTCCCTACCGCACAGCCTCTCTCCCCACCCCGCCCCTCTTCCTAGCACCAGGTGCTCCTTCGGTAGACCCCCTCCCCCCTCAAGGTCCTAAACCCTCAGGTGTGTCCCAGGTAGACCCTGTCGAGCCTGTCGAGGTAGCTGTTGACTCTGGTGCTGCTAGGGGTACTGAGCCTGCGGGTGCGGGGCCTGGGGGTGCTGTGCCTGGGGTTGCTGAGTCTGAGGTTGCGGAGCCTGGGGGTGCTGAGCCTGAGTGTGTGGAGCCTGGGGGTGTTGAGCCTGGGGGTGCTGAGCCTGGGGGTGCTGAGCCTGAGCGTGATGAGTCTGGAGGTCCTCCGGGTGTCCCGTCACAGCGGGAGCCCCTCTCTCCGCAGCAGCTCCGTGAGTGGTACGCTCGGCGCTGTCGCCGTGCTGCTGGAGCTACGGGGCCTGCTGCTGGAGGTGCTTCTGGGGCTGGAACTGCTGGAGGTGCTGCTGGTGCTGGAGCTGCTGGAGCCGCTGGTCCTGGAGGTGCAAGTGCTGGAGGTACTGGCACTGTTGGAGGTCCTACTGGAGCTGGAGCTGCTGGAGGTGCTGCTGGTGCTGGAGCTGCTGGAGCCGCTGGTCCTGGAGGTGCTGGTGCTAGAGGTACTGGCGGTGCTGGAGGTCCTGCTGGTGTTGGAGCTGCTGGAGGTGCTGGAGCAGCTGGTCCCGGAGGTGCTCGTACTGGAGGTACTGGAGCTGCTGGGGCTGGTGGTGCTGCAGGAGTTGGAGCTGTAGGTGCTGGAGCTGTTGCTACTGAAGGTGCTGCTGGAGCTGGAGCTGCTGGAGGTACTGGAGCTGGTGGTGCTGCGGGAGTTGTAGCTGGAGACCCTGGAGCTGAGGGTACTGGTGCTGTCTCTGCTGTTTCTGGAGGCGCTGCGCGGTCGCGGCCGTACTACGTTCCGCTCCTTCAGCAGGTTCTTGGTCTCCCGCCTTGTACTGGTCCTACTCCTCCCTTACTGAGTCCACCGCCTGTCCAGTCACAGTCGCGGTTATAGCCAACCTCTCCACTACCTGGTCCTTCTCCTTACTCTGGACTGACTAGAGGTCTTACGGAGCGTCGTGAGCCTGAGTCTCGTCCTGCATCGCCTGAGTCTCGTCCTGCGTCACCTGAGTCTCGTCCTAAGTTGCCTGTTCGCACTGGTCGTCGTGTTCCGCGTCAGCGTCCTCCTCCTGTCCCCGGCACTCACTCCATAACTCTGCGTCCTTCCACTGCTCCACAGCGTGTCCCTCTTCCGTCTCCTCCTGTGTCCTCTCTTCCTGACAATCTGGACCCGGAGTCTGACTCCCTTCGTGCTGCTAGTCCTACTGTCACGCGTTTTCTGACCACTGCTGTCATTGACCCTTCGTTTGAGTCCACTGCTGCATCTGCTCTAGTTGTTGAGCTTGTTGACTTTGCTGCCACCTGTCGTCTAGACTACGCCGCTAGTCTTGTTGCTGAGTCTGAGTCTGCGTCTATGTGTCCTCCGTCCGTCGGGGGTGAGTGTGCTCTTGGCACGGACATCCTTGAGGACAGACAGGAGGAGTTTGAGTGCTTTGCCGCTGCTTTACATCATCTCGTGTCCATGCTGCTTGCCCCTGAGGGAGACCCGGATGCACCAGACATCCCGACCCCGCGCTCTTACGCAGAGGCGATAGAGGGTCCCTACTCCTCTCAGTGGCAGACAGCCATGGACACAGAGATGGCTTTCTGGAAGTCCACAGGCACCTACGTCGACGAGGTTCCCCCACCTGGGGCGAACATCGTCAGTGGCATGTGGATTTTCAGGGTGAAGCGGCCGCCGGGTTCTCCGCCTGTCTTCAAGGTGCCTTACGTTGCTCGAGGCTTGAGACAGCGACAGGGAGTTGACTTCTTCCAGACCTTCTCCCCTACCCCGAAGATGACCACTCTTCGGGTGCTGCTGCATGTCGCCGCTCAGCGTGACTACGAGCTACACTCTCTTGACTTCAGCACAGCCTTCCTACAGGGCAGCCTGCATGAGGAGATCTGGCTGCGCAGCCCACCTGGCTTCACTGGGTCGTTTCCTGTAGGTACCCAGTGGAGCCTCCGGCGGCCAGTCTACGGTCTCCGCCAGGCACCCCGTGAGTGGCACGACACATTGAGGACGACTCTTGCTGCTCTTGGGTTTGCTCCTTCCACTGCTGACCCTTCTCTGTTTTTACGCACTCACACCACTCTGCCGCCGTTCTACGTTCTCGTGTACGTAGACGACTTGGTCTTTGCTACTGCTGACACTGAGGCACTCGCCCACGTGAAGTCCGAGCTGCAGAAGAGACACACGTGCACAGATCTGGGTGAGCTGACAAGCTATCTTGGCTTGCGGATC